CAATAGGTACATCAAGGTGTCTAACTATGAGGTGAAAACCAGGAAGAAGAACTGGTTTAGGAGGAAGCTTACAAGTTTGTTTAAGGTGCTTATGAAATTTCCAGAGATATCCAGGGGATATTGTTTTAGAGCTCAAGAGAGAGAGGTGAACTAAAGACATAAATTCTGAAGTCATCATTGGTAAAAGTGAAAGCTAAATGTAGATGAGATTGTCCAGGAAATTCGTTTAGATTGAAGAGAAGCAAACAACAGAACAAATCTTACATTCACAACACTTTTAAAGGTTTACAGAACTTCGGACTACAAAACTTGTCTTCCAAATTGAAGACATGGAGAGTAAACTCGTAACCATGGTTACTTAGGGCAGGGGAATTGGGGAGACAGAATGAGGTTGAGGAGACTTCAGCCTTTTCAGCAGCGTTCATTATTTTCTTAAGATAAATATATTTACGTTACTTTAAAAATCAGAAGTTAAAATTAGGCAAGTGGATTATAAAACCCAAGGAGCGAGCACATGGAGTTTTGTATACAAAGCAATAAGCTTGACTGATGTGGCCGCAAAAAAGGGATTCCAGTGACTGTTCAAAGAGATACAGCAGCCCCAGTGCAATGGTTCACATCTGTAAATCCCAGCACTTTGAGAGGCCAAGGCAGGCAGATAACTTGAGGCCAGGAGTTCAAGACCAGCCTGGCCAGCATAGTGAAACCCCATTTCTACTAAAAATACAGAAAAAGCAGGGTGGTGTGTGCCTGTAATCCCAGCTACTCAGGAGGCTGAGGCAGGAAATTCCTTGAACCTGGGATCATGCCACTGCACTGCAGCCTAAATAACACAATAAAACTCTGTCAAAAAAAAAAAAAAAGAGAGAGAGAAAAGATAGAAGATAGCAGTTAGTGAAATACAATGTGTGAAAAATTAATGTGAGTCCCAGATTGAAGGAGACAAACTCAAAAACCCAAAGATTCTAGATGCTTCCATTGAAATCTGTCCCAGAACTCAAGGCAAAATCCTGTGTTCTGGTGATGGGAAAAGTCAACCCTAATGCCCAAATGTGGAAGGAACCGGCAACTCTGGCCAGGCACGACATTATTTTTTTAGTTTAGGGCCAGGGTCAGAAATTCTTCTACATGCCAGTCAGAGGATTGTTTTATTGATGTCAAAGATGAGCTAAGAATTCCCGTGTCTACTTATTCAGTGCCAGTTCCATGCAGAGACTCTGCCAAGGCTTTCATTCAAATCTCACAACAATCATTCGATGTGAGTATTGTTTATCCTTTTTCATAGAGAGACTCAGAGGATTGAATTGCTCATTCGAGACCACATAGCCCATAAATGACAGGGTCAAGATTTACACCCAAGTTTTATTAATTCTGGGGCACTTACTTTTATACATGATGTTAACATTGTGTCTCTACAGCATCTCTATTAGCATCCACATATGTACTAAAATTGAACATGACTCATAGATGAGTCAAAAACATCCATAACTATTTATTCTTTGTCAATCACCTTTTATAGCATTATTTTGGGTTCTACTTTGATGCCTTGCTGCTCGCTATGGTCCTCAAACCAGTAGCATGGGCATCACCTGGGAGCTTGCTAAAAGTGAAGAACCTATGAATCAATCGAAATCCATCCTTTAACAAGAAATCCAGGTGATTCTTATGCAAGTTAAAGTTAGGGAAAAATAGCCTTAGTAAATTAAAACATGAAGGATTCAAAATATTATAATCGATTATACAAGGAGTCTTCCAAAAGTTCATGGAAAATGCATATCATGAAAAAGGTATGCATGGATTCCATTTTTTTACATCAAAATAAGCTTGTACTAACTTGTTATAATGTGAACAGGATCTATTTATTTGGAAGTCTATATTTACATATATGTACATGTCTATCTAAGAAAAATAAGACATCAGTCTGAAAAGGGCTACTGTTAAAACAACATAAATTATGCTTAAATGGAAGCGAGAAGAAACATCAAATTTACGGTGAAGCTTGGGTGGAAGAATGGTGAAATCACTGATGCTTTATGAAAAGTGTATAAGGACAATGGCCTCAACGAAATCAGTAGTTTACAAATGGATAACTCATTCTAAGAAGGGACTAGAAAAATGTTGAAAATGAAGCCCGCAGCAGCCAGCCATCCATGTTAATTTGCAAGGAAAATAATTAATCTTGCTCGTGCCCTAGATAAAGAGAACTGACAATTAACAACAGAAACAATAGCTAACACCATAGCCAACTCAATGGCTCAATTTACACAATTCTAACTGAAACGTTAAAGTTGAGCATTTTCACTCAATAGGTACAAAAACTATGTGTCCAGATCAGCTGCAGACAAGAGCAGAGCTTTCAGTGGAAATTTCAAACAAATATGATTGAGATCCTGAAGCACTTCTTCAAAGAGTTGCAACAGAAGATGAAACATGGCTTCACCAGTACCATCCAGAAGACAAAGCACAATCGAAGCAATGGCTACCAAGAGTTGCAAGTTTCCAGTCAAAGTAAAAGCAGACTGGTCAAGAGCAAAGGTCATGGCAATGGTTTTTTGGAATGCTCAAGGCATTTTGCTTGTTGACTTTCTGGAAGGCCAAAGAATGATGACATCTGCTTATTATGAGAGTGTTTTGAGAAAGTTAGCCAAGGCTTTAGCAGAAAATTGCCCAGGAAAGCTTCACTACAGAGTCCTTCTCCACCATGACAATACTTCTGCTCGTTTCTCTCAACAAACAAAGGCAATCTTAAGTTTCTATGGGAAATCATTAGGCATCCACCTTACCATCCTGCTTCGGCTCCTTCTGATTTCTTTTTGTCTCCTACTTAAAAAATACTTAAGGGGCACCCATTTTTCTTCAGTTAACAATGTGAAAAAGATTATATTAGCATGGTTAAATTCTCTGGACCCTCAGTTCTTTAGGGATAGACAAAATGGCTGCTATCATGTCTTACAAAAGTATCTTAATCTTGAAGGAGTTTATGTTAAAAAAATTAAGTTTTTTAAATAAATTTTATCTTTTGATTCCATTTTTTCACAAAATATTTGAAGTTCACTCACATACAATTTAAAATCCAATACCCTACTATTCTTTTTACTAAGGAGTATTGTATTATTAATTCAATAAAATAAAGTGTGGCAAAAAAGAAAAAACCTTAGGTGGACTTCATTTGGTCCATGGGTTACAGATTGGATAGTAAGGTTTCTGGCATCCTATTTGAAACTCTAAGGAATTCAACCTTCTAATTAAGACTTAGAAGATGGGTCAAGCACAGTGGCTCATGTCTGTAATCCCAGCAACTTGAGAGGCCAAGGCAAAAGGATCACTTAAGGCCAAGAGTTCAAGACTGGGAAACAGAGAGAGCCCCCATTTCTACAAAATATTTAAAAATTAGCCAAGTGTGGTGGCACATGCCTGTAGACCTACCTACTCAGGAGGCTGAGATGGGAAGGTCACTTGAACCTAGGAGGTTGAGACTACAGTGAGCTATGATCACACTACTGCACTCCAGCCTGAGTGACGAGAGACCCTGTCTCTAAGAGAAAAAAAAGGACTTAGAAGGTGAAACCTTCCCAACTTAGCTCCCAAGTCTTCCTAATTCTGTGATACTCAATTCTCCCAACTCACTTCACAGGTGAACTTGTCTGCTCTGTTTTAGAAGTTAGTAGTCCTCACCCAAATCTGTGTGCTTCTCAACATTTCCCAGATCCTTTGCCATAGGTTGGCCAAGTTTTGGAGTCCTGGCTTCTAGTATATGGGAGAAAGTGATGTGTGTCACTTCTGGGCCTGGCCCCCAGCAAGTCCCATAATAGATGTCCTACCTAACAGCTATAGCCACAAAGAAGGAGTCTGGCTGGGTCCCTGAGACACCACCTGCAGTGAAGCTCCCCAATAGAATAAGTCGCATCCCATTAACAAAAATGTTGTGTTGATGAAACACTGAGATTTGAGAGTTGTTTGTTTCAGTGGCTAGGTAACTGTGCCTAACACATGCTCCAGGCTGGAATTCAGCCCAGGAAGTCAAAAACGAAGACTTTCTGAGCATTTGAGACAAGAGTGAGTGAAAGTAATTTTGCTTGTAGATTACCCAGGGTCACTCTGATGCACAGAATGGCATTATGCCAGGAAATAGCATTTAAAGCCATATTGGTTTTTACACTATGTTTATAAACTAACTTAACAACTGGTGAATTAAAGTTTTACATTATGACAGAAATGAAAATCCTATCTGAAATTAGAGAATTTTCAATGTAATCCAACAATTAATTATTTGCAAGGGTGTTAGTGGTATATTCAGTATTTAGATGTTTCCTGAACCAGTTAAAGATTCCTTTTTATATAAAGATTAAAATGCTGATTATAGCTTTCTCATTAGTATTAATGGCTCTGATTTATATACTTACTGGTTATGAGTAAGTACATATGATTGTACTAGGTTAGATATCTTTTTTTTTTTTTTTGAGACGGAGTTTCGCTCTTGTTACCCAGGCTGGAGTGCAATGACGCGATCTCGGCTCACTGCAACCTCCGCCTCCTGGGTTCAGGCAATTCTCCTCCCTCAGCCTCCTGAGTAGCTGGGATTACAGGCATGCACCACCATGCCCAGCTAATTTTTTGTATTTTTTAGTAGAGACAGGGTTTCACCATGTTGACCAGGATGGTCTCCATCTCTTGACCTCATGATCCACCCGCCTCGGCCTCCCAAAGTGCTGGGATTACAGGCTTGAGCCACCGCGCCCGGCCCGGTTAGATATCTTATCTCAAGTGGAATATGAAGTAAAAAACTATTTCTTGAAACAGCAAAGAATACACATAAAAGATACTTTTGAAAGCTAGATTGAACTAGATATTACAAAAATCATAGAAATTACATAGAAATTGGTTTCTAGGAAAGGAAACAATAAATATTATGTGTTGTGTTATATGAAATTAGAGCATGTGTTTATATCCACATTCACTCTGATTTTTATTAACACTGACATGTGTGAAGACAATCCATTAGTGTTTCAGCAAGAGTCCAAATATTGAGTAGAATGTCAGAATCACTTAGCTGTTTGTGCAGGAATTTTAAAACAAAATCAGGTTTCTTATAATTTATTTGTTTTTTAATGAATCTGTAGACTTGGCCCTCTTGGGGAGGGCTTTGGATGAACAGTTAGGGTTTCATAGGGTTTTGGAGCCAGGAGTGACAACAAAAGTATTTTTAGAAGATAAATCTTTTATTGAGTACCGGGTGGGTAACAACAAGAAGAAACTGGAGGTGTCAATAAGCCAGTTAGAGGGTCTCACAAAGATTCAGAGTGTGAGGACCTGGGGCAACAGCAGTGAAATTGGAGAAAGACAGGGGAAAATAATATGTTGGAAAAGGAGGTGATAGGTAGAGAAAAGGGAAAAAGGAGAAACAATACTGACATCTTACACCTGAGTACCAGGGAGGAAAGAGGCCTGTTGGGGTTAAAAGGAGCTGCTTCGGAGAAAGGAAGGTAGCAAAGACACTCCATGCTCGTAAAGGCCAGGACAGCAGAGATGACATCATTCTTGGTGGGAAAATTGTGTTTCCATGGTTAGAAGCTGAAATATGGTCAGGGTGTCTGTATAACAAAGAAACAACGAGGCCGCCCTGAGAGGGGCTCCCTGGAGGCCACTGCAGTATCCAGGAAAGAGCACAGCATGTGCAGTCAGGAGGATTTGCTTCTGAACCCAGCTTCTCCCCTTATGAGCTGTGCGACCTTAGGAAATGGATCTAACCTTTCTAGGCTTCAGTCTCCTCCTCTATAAAATGAGATCAACAATAGATTAGGTGTTCATTAAACAGAAGTAATTTTTCTTGATTTTTCTTTTTCGTATTTAAAATTTTAATCTATTGTTTGAGACTAGCCAATTTTCATAATTTTGGTAGAGATGGCATTTCACCATATTGCCAAGGCTGGTATCAAACTCCTGGGCTCAGACAATCCTCCTGCCTTGGCCTCCCAAAATGCTGGGATTACAGGCATGAGCCACTGCGCCAGCCGCTGCTCTTGGTTCTTTAAGACTATTCCCCAAACATCTTCAAAATAGCCTTTCCTGGGATTGCAGGGGAAATCATTTTTAATCTCCTCTCCCTTGGCCCATCTGTATAACAAAGATAATATTGTTTACATCTGTGGTTCTCAAATGTTATCTGTGCATCAAAATCATTTGAAATATTTGTAAGATACAGATTCCTGTGCCCTAATCCAATAACTTGATTCAGTAATTCTGGGCGAGAAGCCAGGCATCAGTATCTTTCTAGTTGAGAACCACTAATCTACATCATAAAGCTGGAGTGAAGATTGAATAAAATGAGCATGGCAAACCCCCATAGCACAGCTCCTGGCACACAGTGCTTGTTTAATAAGTGGTACTGGTAGGGAGTGGTAGGATGGTGAAAGGGTGGGCCATGGAAGTGGGCAGGGTGATGGTGGGTGATGGCGATGGAGGTTGGCTTATGTTCATGGAGGTGGTGAGTGATGATCGGGTGTGGTGAGTGGTGGAGGCCAGATTGCTGAAGATCCCTGACTCAGCAAGAAGATTGAGACTTTCTCTGGTGGAGCATGAGGTGGCAGCGAAAGGGACACTCCGGGTGGAAACAAGTGTTCATTCTTGCTTCCATTAGGAATTTGTTCCTGGACTAAATAAGAGGAGAGGCATTTCTTTGGAGTTTAATTCTCCTTTCCACAGAAGTAAGAAATACAACTGAAACTACAAAGTGCAGAACTGTACTATGACCTGCAAAATGGATCAATTGTATCAAACCATACCCTGAAACACCAGCAAAGGTCAAACTACTTTAAGAACTGCACATTGTTGTGTTGTATGCACAGAGGCTTGATGCCAAGACCACGGGAAAAAGGGTTCAGCAGTGACTCTGAACTCAGGCTCTAGAGACAAGACCTCTGACAATTCCAGAAGTTCACATTGTTTACAAATTCTGACCAACCCCAGTCCAGACCTCACTTACAAATTTCTACCCCGCAACCACTCTATCACAAAAACTCATTAACTTCCCCATTTTGAGCCACCGCTGCATCTCTGTCAAAACAATGCTCCCTTATGCCATAAAAGAAGGAGCGTTGTTTTGAGCATTAATAAACATGCCGTGAAAGAGGGAGCATTGCTTCCCAGTGGTCTTTGTAAGAGGGTTTCAACAGGTAGACAGGGACCCATGCCTTTTGCTCTTAGACTGTCAGCTTGGTTCATGGAAACAGCCTATCCAGCACGTGTACTCACCGAATATGGAAAATGGCTCATTGTGGACCAAGCACTTCAGAGTAGCCAGTGAGTCATCCCCTCTGATATCAAAATTCTAGGATGTTTAGCTAAATATTCAAAGTTAAATATATTACAGTCTTTTCATATATGTTTTGAAAAGCAGCCAGGAGTCCAGAGGAAACCTCCACAGGACACTTGCCTTTCAACACTTGGAGCTCTCTGGGCACTTCTTGCAGAGAAAGAGTGGGTCGAAACGCAGGAGCAGCACATTTCTTGTCTGAAGGGTCCATGGCTGGAGGAAGTGTATCACTGAGGAGCCTGCAGGTGGTGGCGAGGGGAGAGGGGTGCTCTGAGCCTGCAGGTGGTGGCAGGGGGAGAAGGGTGCTAGAGCACCCACCTTCTTGTCCTCCTCAGCCCCAGCTCCTGCTCTAGAGGGTTCCACATTCACTAACACTTCCCAGCCTTTGCCCATGCTGCTTGTGAATTGATGTCTTAGTCTGCCCATGCAGCTATAACAAAATACCATAAACTGGTCACTTAGAAACCACAGAAATTTATTTCTTACAGTTCTAGAAGTTTCGAGGTCCAAGGTCAAGACTCCTGCAGGTTTGACATCTGAAGAGGGCTCATTCTCTGGTTCATAGATGACACCTTCCCATTATGCCCTCACTTGGTGGAAGGGACAAGGCAGCTCTCAGGGGTCTCTTTTATAAGGGCACTAATTCCATTCATGAGGGCTCCATCCTCGGGACCTAATTACCCCCAAAGGCCTCACCTCCTACTACCATCAACTTAAGGGTTTTCAATGTAGGAATTTTGAGGGGGCATAAGCATTCAGCCCATAGCAATGATATTAAGGTTATAATGGTTTAACATTATTACAGAAAGGAATGAACCATGCAGGCAAATGGGAACTTCCTCACCATTCAGTTTGTGAGATTTATGATTATCTCAGAGCAGAACGTGAATAGCCAAATTTATGCAAGTACATTTTCCTTTTTTGTTTGTTTTTTTTTTCTTCCAGTGAGTTGTTTTTAAAAGATCTTAGTAGTTGTTTACATAGAAAGCCTTTCATGGCTTTCTGATAACCTAATGCTCTCCTCTGTAACCCAACATGTAAAAATAGGCCCTCTCAAGGGTGACCCCATCTCCCTGTTGCCTTAGGGGTCTGATCACAGTATAATTATAACCCCTCTTTCACCTCAAAGCCTGTAATCCCAGCACTTTGGGAGGCCAAGGCGGGTGGATCACGAGATCAAAAGATCGAGACCGTCCAGGTCAACTTGGTGAAACCCCGTCTCTACTAAATATACAAAAAATTAGCTAGGCATGGTGGCACGTGCCTGTAATCCCAGCTACTCAGGAGGCTGAGGCAGGAGAATTGCCTGAGCCCAGGAGGCGGAGGTTGCGGTGAGCCGAGATCACGCCATTGCACTCCAGCCTGGGTAACAAGAGCGAAACTCCATCTCAAAAAAAAAAAATTATGTGATGACCCTAGTAATAATCTGATGTTGTCAAAGGAGAAATAATGATATGGAACATATGTTGAATATGTAAATTTTTTCATTATTTTTTATTAAATATTAATTTTGTGTGTGTATGTGTGTGTGTGTGTGTGTGTGTGTGTGTGTGTAGACACACATATATTTTCAGTCCTCACCAACACTCTGGGAAGTTAAGCAAAATTAATGTTTCCATTTTACGTTTGAAGAAAATCAAGGCACAGAATAAATAACTCACCCAACATTGCACAATGTGACTTCAGAACCTGCACTCTCTACCACGATTTATTGCTGCCTCCTGAAATGCTGAATCTTTACTCCAGAGAATCTGGATGTTCAGAGAGGGTTTGATTTAGACATGCTGGTCCTGAAACCTAGGAAGAAGAGAAACAAGAATCCAAAGGGAAAAAACAGTAAAGAAAAAAATAGATGGGCCCGTCTTACATTTATTTCTTAGAGTTGCCATTTCTAGGACAGCAGATGGCAGCCCGGGCGACCCCACCTCTAACAAAATATTTTTAACATTAGCCAGGCATGTAGCTCATGCTACTCAAGAAGTTGAGGTGGGAAGATTGCTTGAACCCAGGAGTTTGAGGTTACAGTGAGCTACGACCATGCCATTGCACTCCAGACTGGGTGACAAAGTAAGACCCTGTCTCTAAAAAAAGTGTGTGTGTGTGTGTGTGTGTGTGTATATATATATATATACACACACACATATATATATATTTCTCTCACAGTTTGGGAGGCTGGAAGTCCAGTATCAAGGAGGAGGACCCTCCCTCCCTTACCTCTTCCAGCTTCTGGTAGCTCAAAGCACTGCTTGACTTCTGGTGGCATCACTTCCATCCCTGTTCCCATCTTTATGTGGCCTTCCTTCTTCTACGTGCCTGCATCTCTAATCATCCTCTGTCTTTCTCTTCCAGGAACACCTGTCATTGGATTCAGGAACCACCCTGAATGACCTCATCTTGAGATCCTTAAGTTAACTATGTCTGCAAAGACCCCTTGTCCGAATAAAGTCACATTCACATTTCCGGGAATATGGACATGAATATGTGTTTTCCAGTGGGGGATCACCATTCAACCCACTAGGCCTCCGGACGTACATGATAGGATATGTAGCTCCTATAAGCTGTATAAACCTAGGTCTAAATGTATTCCTTTGAGCCCATCTTGAGAAGTCTTTTTTTCCCCTTCAGAGTTGCTTAATTTTCTCTTCTTAAGAAAATTCCCCAAGTTACCAAAAGCAAGAAGTATTTTCATTATTTCTAGAAAACCTCAGAACTTAAAGGAGGCCAGGAATGTAGAAGGAAGCAATACCAATCCTATTCTAAAAGCCCTGCTTTTCTTCTGCCTGCCTGGACATTCCTCACCAAACTCAAATATCACTTTTTGATGCTTCCTCGAACCATCCTCTCACCCACCCCTACTCACAACCTCATCAGAGACACAGCCAGCTTTCTGCTGACTTTCACTAATCAGCTGTGTGACTTCAGGCTGCTCTTCAAGTTTCTAGGCTTGTTTCCTCCTCTGGAAAGAAGGAACAAAAGAAAAAAAACAAAGAGATGAAGGAAGACAAGAAGGAAGGAAGGCCAGTCTTGAAGGTCCCTAATATCCTACCCATAGCATGAAGGTTGTTGAGTGAGGGAACCATCTCTGTTTATGACCTCCATCTAGTTCTTATTTCCCTGCTTAGGAAATCATTCTATCTTCTTCTCCCAGTCTAGGCCTGCCCTGACCTCTCCTCCTGCCTCCAAAGGGCTTTCTCCAGAACCTGTCTTACTCATCCCTTTACCGAGTCTTCCCTACCTCTTGCAGATCTCTGATCTCTGCCTCCAGGAGAACTTCCCAGTTCTAATTCCCAGACCCAGAGCTCTTCTCTCTCCCCTGAAGAAGACAGAGCAGAATTCTCTTTTCCTTTATTCATCTCTTATTTCCTCACCAATAATTAACTTTATTATTATTTAATAAAGATACATAGAGGACATTCTTAACAACGCACCACAAATACTTGGTTCCAAATATCAACATTTGGAATTCACAAGTCCCACTATCACCAGCAAGTGATTATTAGAAGGAAGAATTTGCTGTAGGGTTTTTATGCCTTTCCTGTTAGAGGTGACAGATGGTTCTCAACAACAACAAAAAATACCCGTCACTCTTGATATAATATGTGCACGCCAAACCAAAAAGACAGAGATGGACAGCAAATTGGCAACTATTACCACTACAGTTTATATTTGGCATTTGAAGACACCGGTTGTATATACAGAAGCCACATCATGCAAAATAAAATCCTGTCTTGATTTGAAAAAAAAAAGAAAAAACAGGATGGGACAGGCACAGTAGCTCACACTTGTAATCCCAGCACTTTGGGAGGCCGAGGTGGGTCGATCACCTGAGGTCAGGAGTTTGAGACCAGCCTGGCCAATATGGCAAAACCCCATCTCTACTAAAAATACAAAAACTAGCCGGGCATAGTGGTGGGCACCTGTGATCCCAGCTACGTGGGAGGCTGAGGTAGGAGAATCTCTTGAACCTGGGAGCTAGAAGTTGTGCAGTGAGGCAAGGTCACACCACTATACTCCAGTCTCAAAAGCAGGAAACAAATCTTTATATGTTCAGTATTTTTTCCACCAGACTGTTCAGTTCAAAACCAAGCACATGGTAACCTTGCTGCCTGCAAAGGCCTAGGGCTCAAAGTTACCCACTTTAACATCCTAAGGGACACGACCCAGGGAGGCCAGCACCATGAGTTTCAGGGGATGAATTGCTTCAAGTAGCTGCCACCCTAGGCCGACCTTGCCTACCTACTTCAGGGACTGGCTTTGAAATTTCCACAGTGGCCTCTCATCTTGGTCTGCACCATAACAGTGTTTTATTTCCCAAACTTGCCAAGGGGAACAGCTGTTTCATCCCCACACCTGCTACCAGCCCCACCCCAGCAGAAGGGCTGTGAGCTACAGAGCCAGCCCTGTGTCCTCCCAGCCCGCCCCTCCCTGCTCAGAAGCTCGGCCAATGGGGTAGCCTTTGGGTAGCCACAGGACCACTCTCCCCACAGATCTCACTGCAGAACTGGAAAGGTTTCATCAACTGCTAGAAGCAGAAAAACATCAGTTAGCAAAAAAATCAAGTTGAGTTGTTCTCTTTCAAGCCTGCCCTAGGGAGTCTCTGCAAGCCATTATTCTGAAGCCTAGAAGCAATGCCCTCCCGAGGGTGCCTTGTTCACACAAATACTGAGAGACAAAACAAAAATGCTGAATTTCAGACCTTCCAAGAGCCCCTGAAGAGGCTGGAGTTCCCTCTGGCAACACAGTGGCTTTGTGTGTGCAAAGCAATTATAGGAGTCAGATGTCAGAGAAAAGGGGGGTGAAACTAAGCACCACCCCACTAGAAAGTACAAATGTTAGTAGCCACCACCTTGTGGCTCCCCCAGAAGCCCGGAGAGCTCCAAAGTGAACAGGTTTCCATTCATCCAGCATTTAATAAGTGTCAAGGGTTTCAGCAGCCCCTGTCCTATTAGAATTGTTTTAATGGGGAAGTAAACAAGCAAATTTGTGATCTTAAAACACCTGATATGTTGTCTTAGCCACACACAAGTTGAGGTATTGAGCATGTAAAGAGAGCAGGGAAGACCCAATGCCCATGGCAGGAGGCAGTTCCTGGAGGAAGCCATGTCTGAACAGAAGGAAGAGGAGCTGACCAGGGGATGGGGTAAGGAATAGCTGTCCAGGCTGCTTGCCCTACACTCTAGGAAGGACAAACACTGCCATAGCCTGTGCCATTGAGAGAAGCTCAGTTTAGCTGAAACAGAGGACGAGGGAGGACTAGTGAGCAAAGAGATTGAAAAAGGAGGCCATGGCTGAGTGCTGGATTGCAGGCGCAGTAAGGAGTTTGGATATCTCCTAAAGGTATCTCGAGATTCCTCAGTGTGGGAGGAGCAGGAGAGGAGCAAATGATGGGATTGGATCTGCAATTTAGGATGATTTCTATTCCAAGGAGACTCCTGGACTCTTTGTTGTCTTTGACACACTCGGAGCTGCTGCCATGGCAATTGTTAAAAAAACAAAACTTTTAGAAAATGAAAACCTGAAGGTAGAAAATGGAAGATGGGAGAACTCCCTTAATACTTCTGAGGGTCCCATTCTGTTGGTGCCAGTTCACTCTGATGATTGTTTCTTTGGCTGTGCAGAAACTCTTAAGTTTAATTAGATCCCATTTGTCTATTTTGGCTTTTGTTGCCATTGCTTTTGGTTATGCCAAAAGCATCTTCTGTTTGAGAGTGGTCCTGTGCCTATGACTATGTCCTGAGTGGTGTTGCCTAGGTTTTCTTCTAGGGTTTTTATGGTGTTAGGTCTCATGTTTAAATCTTTAGTCCATCTGGAGTTAATTTTTGTGTAAGGTATAAGGAAGGGGTCTAGTTTCAGCTTTCTGCACATGGCTAGCCAGTTTTCCCAACACCATTTATTAAACATGGAATCCTTTCCCCATTGCTTGCTTTTGTCAGGTTTGTCAAAGGTCAGATCATTGTAACTGTGTGGCATTACTTCAGAGGCCTCTGTTCTTTTCCATTGGTCTACATCTGTTTTGGTACCAGTACCATGCTGTTTTGATTACTGTAGCCTTATAGTCTAGTTTGAAGTCAGGTAGTATGATGCCTTCAGCTTTGTTCTTTTTGCTTAAAAGGATATGAACAGACACTTTTCAGAAGAAGACATTTATGTGGCCAAGAAACATGAAAAAATGCTCATCATCACTGGTCATTAGAGAAATGCAAATAAAAACCACATTGAGATACCATCTCACGCCAGTTAGAATGGTGATCATTAAAAAATCTGGAGACAACAGATGTTGGAGAGGATGTAGAGAAACAGGGACACTTTAACACTGTTGGTAGGAGTGTAAAATAGTTCAACCATTGTGGAAAACAGTGTGGCAATTCCTCAAGGATCTAGAAATAGAAATATCATTTGAACCAGCAATCCCATTACTGGATAAATACACAAAGAATTATAAATTGTTCTATTATGATGACACATAAACAGGTATGTTCACTGTGGCACTATTTACAATAGCAAAGACCTGGAACCAACACAAATGCCCATTGATGATAGACTGGACAAGGAAAATGTAGCACATATGCACCATGGAATACTATGCAGCCATAAAAATGATGAGTTCATGTCCTTTGTAGGGACATGGATGAATCTGGAAACCATTATTCTTAGCAAACTGACACAAGAACAGAAAACCAAACACCCTATGTTCTCACTCATAGGTGTTGAACAATTAAAACATATGGACACAGGGAGGGGAACGTCACACACTGGAGTCTGTTGTGGGGTGGGGAGCTAGGGGAGGCATAGTGGGGGATGGGGAAGTTGGGGAGCAATAACATTGGGAGAAATGCCTGATTTACATGACAAGGCAATGGAGGCAGCAAACCACCATGGCATGTGTGTACCTATGCAACAGTCCTGCAAGATCTGCACATGTACCTCAGAACATAAAGTATAATAAAAAATATATATATCTGAGGGTCACTGTGGGAAGCCAGCTTAAAGCCCACAAAGTCAGAAGCTCTCTAGAATCCACAGCCAAATGCCAGGGAAAGAACTGGCCCCCCAGCCTGCCCTGAAGGGAAGGAGTGATGCTGGGCATGACCTGTGCTCCCTCTTCGCTGCCCCCAGGCCGAGCTTGTTAAACTTTCCATCATTTTCCAGCCAATTGAACTGCATCAGATGAGACTGAGTCTGTGTTTTTAAAAGATAAGAAGAGACCCTCTCTATATACCTGCACCCCCTCCACCCCACCCTCTGCCAATACCAAGAGATGAGCCTATCTCTCTCTGCCCTGAGTTTGAGGTTTCTCTAGGAGCCTTCATGGGGTGCAGTGGCCCCCAGACTACTGGGCTGTCACTGAAGTTGAT